TATATACTTTGTTATGCACAACAAACAGACAATAATATAAAAATGTGTCAAACCAGAATTTCTTTGATTAATTAAATATGATCCCAAAATATATACTAATATTGGAACAATAGGAAAGCTCTTATTTTCCCATTATACTTAAGAAAACAAGAATTTTTTCTCGTGTTAAAGAGAATAAATAGAATATGTATAAGTACATAATATGTGTATATTTGATATACTTACTTATACATATCTTATATGTTCATATATAAATATATGTATGTATATACTTACATAAATCAATATAAATATAAGTAAGTATATTCTAAATTGTAAGTAAGTACTTGTTTAGCATATGTTTGTTTGTATATATACACAAATTGGCAATGATAATTAGAAAAGCTTCTGGCTATTTTATTGTCATTATAGACAACTTAATGAATATAGCAACGATGATGATATATTGAAAGAGATCTAAATAAAATGTTACCTATAATTTAGATATAGATCTAAATAAATGTTAGCCTATAATTTGGCGAACCCCGTTATAGGCTAATTAGAATTCAAATATTAAATCTTAAGGAATGTACTTACTTCAGTATTGTAAGTAAGTTTATTAGTAATGTAATTCATAACATATGCTCTAAAATGAAAAATCTTTCCATATTTCAAAATCACTCACTTTCTGTCTCTGTATTTTCAGAAAATTTCTTAGTTCATTGCTTTAACTATCATTATTAGGGTTCAATTGCAGGAACTTGAGCTACTTATACTAAACAATGATAAATTAACCATATTTTAATAAGTTAAACAAATATTTAAATGTAAAAAAGCCTTTTATATCGACCAATGGAAAAACTGACATTCGAATAAAATTTTATTTAGACAAAAGTCAAATTTCACATGAACTAGGTCACGATTTAAAAAATCTATGCTTATTAATTGGAAATTGTTTATTTCAAATTTCGAATGGGTACTTGCCACAGAACTGTTTAGAAATATTTTGTAGTTAGAAATCTTACAATTTTTATATCTTCGGTACATTTTTCTTTATAGTAATTTTACTTATTTTTATTAATAATTACTTAGGAATTTTCAAAAAGATAAACTAGTCTTTGACGTAAAACAAAAATTAGATAAATACTGAGTAAATCTTTGCTAGCAATAAAGTCAAGTTATTCTCATAGAATAAAACAAATATTAGTTAAGTAATACAGAATTTATATTTTTAGTTATTCAACGTAATGTTAATTATTTTTTAATTATTTAATAAGTAAACATTTGCACACACATACCTTATGTATTTTTTAGATAACAAAAATTTATTTGAATAAATTTTTTATTTTTGTCTTTGACATTAGAAACTTAAATTATTTCTAATATTAAATTATGATCAAATTATTATAAAATTCGAATAAGGAATTTATGAAATGTTCTTAGAATTGGAATTTCAATACTTAAAATCTTTAGAACATAATAAAATAAATTGAAACTACATTAAAATAAAAGAATTTTGAAATAGATTAGAACATTGTCAAATAGTTAATAACTGTGCAAGCATTTAATTGCTTGACCAAAAAATTTGCTGGGTAAGTAATTAAAAACAATTACTTGCATTATCAAATTCTTCAGTTCTTTACATATTTGTTTTATAGTTTGAAATTAAATTTATGTTACAGCAATCATTTAAGTATGTTAAGTTTATTTTAAATTAAATTGTAACTTAGGCGTTCAATAAATCGTTTTAAGCATATAAAAACAATGTCTGCCTTAATATTGCTTTATATTTTTAATACTACTATATTTCTTGTCCAGTATGGGCAACATTATTTTCTTAATAACTAATTTTATACTTAATTTTATACTAATTTTGTACTTAAATTGCTTAAAATTCAATTGTAGTTTACATGCAACTTCATAGACAGTTTATGTACAAATATTAAAAAAGCACTTAGTCATTTAAATATGTACTGCAGTAATTCATTTTAATAAGTATGTATAGAATATACTTGAATGAGGAAGAACTATGATTTTTGTACTCTTAAATATTGTACATACAATTACTTATTTGATTTTCTTCCAAATTAAAACATCATGATGCTATTAGTATGAATAAAGGATATGTTAAATTTGAAATTCCGTTTATAATGTTGAATAAAAAATGTTAATTAATTAGTAAGTAAATATTTGAAATTCTTAAACATCTTAAAAACATAATTGTTTGTTAGGTAAGCCAAAATTAATTAAAATTTTCATGATATTATAAAAGAAGTAGCGTAAATTGTAATTACTGTTTCAATTGAGCAAGCCAATTCAAACACGTTAAATCCCGAAAATTCATTATTTAAAACAAAAAGTCCAATTATTTATCTATAAAATGAAACCTATAGTATTCATGATTGACTAGAAATTTCACTCCGTAAGTATACTTATTTTATTTGTTTTCTTTTTTGTCAATTAAGTGTAATAAAACCGCTGCGATAAAGCCAGCATGTGACTAAAAAAAGATTTTAAGTTAAGTAAATTGCTTATCTTTCTTCTTTTATGCTATGATTGTTGTCTTTGTTGGATAATAATTCTATACAGTTAATTTAAGTGACAATTTATTATTTAAAATGTTTCGCGACTGACGGAGATTTTTAAGTTAATTGTTATAAGAATTAAGTAGAATCTTATTTTTTCTGGCAAATTTTATTTGATTTTAGAGGAAAAATTTATTTATAGAAAAGTATTATGATTACTGATTTTAGTTTCTTTAATTTGCTATAGTTTTCGCTTCTCTTTCGGACTTGTATGCTTACGAAATTACTCATCTGAAAGTCTAAGTGTTACTTATGACTAAATACTTAAAAAAACTTAATACATATTAACACAATCTTAGAAGTCAAAATAATTAAATGTCAACATCGGAATTTATTTATTTTAATTAGAAAAACATTTGTAAATTGATTTAATTACTATAATTTGAATTTAATTGAATTATTTCAACAGAAATACAAATTTATTCTTAAAATATTCTATAAAGACGTCATAATTCTCCATTTCTTTCATTTTATTACTAATACTTACTTACTTACTTAGATATTACGTAAATATTTTGGAATAGAGCGATTTTGTACAAAACACAAAACTGGTAGGTACTACTTAATTATGTGTCATACTTATTAAAACTGTTGTGCAACTTTTATTATAAATTTCAATAATTTTTAAATTGCAATAATTTTGTAACAATCACTTGGGTCATTTTAAAATCAATTTTTAATTTAAGAAAATATGCAACTAGCATGAAAGAAACTATTGAGAGTAATTTAAGAGTTAACATGAAGTTATATCAATTCACTGATTCTGCAAATTAGTGTTAAGATTAGTTGGCTTAAAACCCTCAAACGATTTGATATGCTCCTGGCTAATTATAATTACATTTTGCAAATAAAATTTTCTTACGTAGATAAGGTAAAAATTAAATTTTAATTTAATTAATTTTATGAAAAATATCACTTAAAGGTAATGTATATTAAATACGTTTCTACATGTAAAATTATAACATCTATTTTTTATTTAAAGCCAGTTGTACCTTTTTTGAGGCGGAAGTTATAAGCAAAAAAAAACGGTTCCGATTTGACCCTATGTTCCGAACAAAAATTTTACTCATTTTCCACTTCTGCCCGAAGGTATATGGTTCCTGACTTTTTGGTAAATCACCCTGTATGCACCCCATAGCCACATATCCTACTTATCTAGGCGTACCTACTGGTTATCTCCTTCACCACTCATGTAAACCTAACTACCTACTTAATATATTAAAATGCAATTACAATATTCTTATTTTAAAATCTAGATCAAAATTCTTATATTTTCTAAATTTTTAAATTAAAATCATTAACATGAACTTTGATAACCTTATTAAAATTAAAAAAATATTTTTATCTTACATTTTACATTTACGGTTTTTTGTTTTTTGCATTTTCTAATTCATAATTTTTTTTTAAATCAAAAACTTCTTAAACTATTACTTTCATAGTATAAGTAAATGTAAGACTTGCACCTATACCAGTACTCTTAATTTAATTCTCTAGCATTCATAAATGAAAATTAAATGAAGGGTAAAATACAAAAAAATAAAACAGAATCAAGTGAAATCTACTTACATACTTACATAACATAAGTTTAAGATGAGAAAATTTTTTAAGCATAACTACTGCAAATTGCAATAAGTAAGTAGATTTGTTGTAATTCTCGAATTAAATTAAATAAAATGTAAACAGAGAAAAACAAAAATAAGAAACAGTTTTTTTCTCTTCAATATATATATACGTGTGTACATACCTACATAAAAAGATATTTTACATTAGCCCATTTTCTAAAAAGGCAAAAATAACAGGTGCACCTAAGATTCTGTTTTATTTTTTTTTCTTTTTGTTTTGGCTTCTTCTTTTTTTATTCAAATTCATTTTCTACTTGTTACAACAATACTTACAAGTAGATAATATAATAGGTATACATACACATATATTAATATATAAAATGCTCAAGTATAACTGAAATAAAAGATCAGTCAGCAGTACAATCTAATAATAAGCAATTTAAGTAAGTCTTAAGAAAAAAAAATTACAAAAACTCTTGCTTTACTAAACTTAGTTAAAAGTATAAAATGAAACACTAAAATTAGTGAAGCTGAATTGACGGCAATAGAATTGAAAAAAATAAAAATTGAGTCTTTTTTTTTTCTTCTTTTCTTTCTTAAACAGGAAATTCAATACAAGATCCATAAGAACGGAAAAATTATGTAAAAAAAATACAAAAATAATATTGGAATAATGACGAGAAAATAACAACAACAACTTAAAAACTTTTTATAAGAAAATTATCTTTTTAAATTTTTTTATACATATGTACATATGTAGGTATACCAACCTAGCTTCATACATACATATATATATTTTTTCTTTAATAAATATACATACTTATTTATATAATTTTTATATGAATATATTATTTAAATATTAAAATACACATACCTGGTAATAGGAATCCGCCATTTTGCAATCTTGGAGGTTGAGGTTGAGTGAAGAATAAAATGAGCAAAGCAGAACAGCAGAACAGCAGATCAACAATTGTGTATAGTAGCTTAGCTATACTTAATTTTGTATTTCTTTGTTATTTAGTTACTTATTATTATTATTATTATTATTATTATTTTTTTTTTTTTACTTTAAAATGTTTAAGCTCTTTGCTAGACTTAGTTGTTAGCTGAACAAGTTGAAAACCAAAAAAAAAATTTGTAAGTAATAGGAATTCCAACAAAATATTACAGAGAATCTCACTAAAAATTCGTTTCTTATGTTTTTTCTTAAAACAAATTTTCCGTTTAAAATAATATCGTAGATATCGTATTATTTATGTTTTATTTATTTTTTTGTTTGATTTCAAATGAATAAGAACTGACGTAAACACTGTTTTTGATATTAAAATAGCTATAAGATATTGATAAAAAAAATTATTATTAAATTTTAATAAATGATAAAAATTATGATCAGTTGATTTAGGTAGGGTCTATTGGTATAATCTAGTATGGTAGGTATATGGCTAATTTTCTTTTTTTTATTAATTCCGAAATTGGTACATTTACTTAAACATTTGCAATAATATTCCTTGTTAAGAAAGTACAAGAATATTTTATAAACAAATTTATGAATCAATAATAACGATGGAGAATATGTGATTTTACAGACCTATTTAAACATTATGAAAGAATAAGGGATAAATCTTAACTGGAAATTACTGATTTTTTAATGTAAGTCAATACATATATGCACCTGTCAACACATTTTATATTAAGAAATAAAATATTCATTAAGAATTTAATTGGGAAAACCAAATATACCTAGGTAGGTACCTATTTACTTTAATCATCGGCATTAATATGCGCGTTTTTGCATTTAAATCAGATCTTATGAACAGACCGTGCCTGCCGATAAATCTTTTTGTATAAGTAATAAAATCATTTACGATCATGTAAATAGTTGCCTATCTACTTATAACATTTACTTATTAAGATAAGATACATCTATAAAAATGAGGATCGAGAGGGTGTACATACATTTGTATACTTAGGTAGGTACACAAATTCAAAACAAAAATAATTTTCAATTAAGTACTTATTCAATTATCGTGGGTATTTTTCTTCTTTTTTTATTTCCTTAAATTTATGCACTCACTCACTTACTTTAAAAAAAAACTACTTGGATATTTTGTATAATTAATTTTTTTTCCTTCGCTTATTTTCTCGAGTTTAATTCTATTTTTGGATTATAAGATTACATATATAGAATTTTATGCGGCTACATGCATGTGTATATACACACATATATACATATATATTTATTTTTTTCTTAATTTATTTAAATTCATAAATGAAACACACATGAAATATTTTTATTTTTTTTTTCGTAAAATTGCTTATTCATGACTTTTCGTTTTATTTTTATTGCTTTTAATTTTAAAGATTATTTTTAGATTATTCACATTAAAATTTGAATTTAATAAAAATTAAAAATGATTTTTTTAAAAAAAGATTTCGCAAATTTCCAATTTCCTTTTTTGTTTGTTTTTTATCTCAATTTTTGATTTTTTCTTGGACGTATGTACACTTATAATTTATTTATTCACGTTAATTTTAAATTTAAATCAAATTATGGTAGACAACATATGAAAATTTTTTAATATTCACAAGTTCAGAAATCATTTGAGCAAAATTGCTTTAAAACTTTAATATTTGGAACATGGTGGCTTAATTTGGAATTAAATTTTAATCAAAATTCTTTTTATTTTGAAATTCAAACATAAATGATTAGAAAATTTTTCAATTTACACTTGACAAATCTTAAATATTATTCATGATTTTATTTAATTTCATAAAATTTTGAAACATTTTATGAATTCAAAAATATTTCATTTTTTTTTAAAGATGCCATAGAAATTATTTAGATTCTTTAAAAAAATATTCTTTTTTTCTATAAACACAGAAACACAATAAGTATATGTATGTAAGTATGTAGGAAAAAAAAGAGGTTAGCGGCTCCAACAACAGCTCCACATTCCAAAAAAAGAAAAACAAAAAACAGAAATTTTAAACACCCAACACGTTCATATTAAGTTCACGTTTTTGTTTTTAATTTTCTTTTCGTTTTTGTTTTTTTTTATATTAAAATCCAAAGCATTTGGCACAAGTCATTGGCTGAATTAGAATGAAATATGAATTTTTTTTTTTGTTACTTTTTTCTTTTTCTTATGAGTTGATGAATTTTGATCTTTTTTTTTTTCCTCACGAAATTTTCGTTATTAATATTTCATGTATAAACAATTTATTGACTAATTTTTAATAGTAAAATTTAAAAACTTAACTTTTATTTATTAAATTTGAGCAATAATTAAATTATATTTTACGTAAAAATTAAAAAAAAAAATTTATTTTAAGACACAAAAATAGACGAAATTATTTTGTGATTCTTGGAAGAATAGACGGCCAACAAAAACTGGCTTTTGTAATACTACAACGGAAGATAGAAGAGTATAGCATGATTATTAAAATTTTTCTTCTTTTTTCCTTTTTGATTCTACAATGTTGGTAGAATTGATTGTCAATATGACGGCCGCCATACAATTCAACGTAATGTCAAAAAAAATGACAACACTCATTGTATTTAATTTAAAAAAAAAAAAATTGTACAATGGCAGCATTTTCAGTTTGTTTTTCAAAGTTGAAAGCAAAGATGTTGAATATTCGTATTCCAGAATTTTAGAATTTGAACAATTTAAATTTTAATGCAAAATTTTAAATTTACGAACAGAGAGGTGAAAAAGTATTGAAAAATTTATTTTACTGTCATTAAATTTAGTTTACTGTAAAAATTTAATTTCACCATAAAAAAATACTTTTAAAATAATTCTCTATAATTTTTGTCAAAAATTTTTTGTTTAAATTTCGCATCTGGCAGCACATTTTTATTATTCCAAATTATAAAATCAAGTATTTATACTGTCTTGTCTTGTCATTTTTTGAAACTTCAATTTGAGTATGAGTGTAATATTAATATTGAACGTCATAAAGCAGATGAGTTATTTTCAATTATAATAACAAGAATTTGTGAGTACTTTTTAAATTTTGAGTTGAAACAGAAGTGAATGTTAAAATTAGTTTTGTATTTAATAATATATTTTGTAAAAAGTGTTAATTATGTGTTATATTCATGCATTATTTAACGTTTCTTAATTTAATATGCAAATGTAAATATTTAAAATAATTTTTAAATAATGGTTTTAACAAAGGAAAATTAACGCTGGTATGTACAAGTATAATTTATTGTAATTGTACATTTTTTCAATTGTTTACGTCAAATTTTAACGATAAACTTTACACATTTTTTCATAAAAACAAATTATAATTGAGGTTCTTGTTTTATGTATTCATATAATTAAATATTACTAATATTCCATAAAAAAATTACATATATGTATAAGGTTTGCATTCAGCCTTAAGTTAAATATCGTGTTAGAATGGCTTTTTAAATCTTTGCGAATAAAAGTTCCAATTATTTTATCTTAATTAAGAATTTCCTTTAATTTTCTTAAAATTAATATTTGGTTTGGTATTACGGATTGCAAAAGTTGGATAAGTAGTTTTCAACACAATGTTAATTGATATATTGCCTATAGTTAGGAGAATCAGCTTCTATTCAACACAATATTCAGGGTTGTTACTCTTAAAAATTCTTTGTGGCAAATTTAAAAAAGAAGTAAGCAAATATTTATAAAGGCAGGCGAATTCGTAAAATTCATATTTTGTTTTATTTTGTTGTGTTTATAATCAAAGTCAATATTATCTTAAGATTTCAATAAGAATTAATAAAGAACTGTGGGGCTATTCTTCGAATTTTACTCTTAAAAATATAAAGAAAGGGTTAACAGTCATTTGAGATAATGGATAAAACGTTTAATTGATGAAGCCTATCAAAATAATAAAAAAATCGAAAAGGTTCAAGAGGATTTTCTAGCTCTCACTATTTTATGTGAGAGCTAAGATCATTTAAAACTTAATCTTTTGGATTAATTAATCAGTTTAAATTTAGTGATTAAGACGTTTTGGTTGTAGGTACGGAATTGTCAACACATTTCCATGCTACAAATTTTTAAAGTTTAATATCGAATTAAATTTTTAATTTATTTTACTTCCGTGTTTAAAGAATTTTATATAGGTAAGAGTAAGAACCTGTGTAAGATTTAATGTGCAAACGAATAGGAATTCTTTATTATGACAAAAATATAGGTTAAATTAGAAATTTAGAACAAGAATATCTTCCATATATATATATATATATTATGTATATGTATGTGTGTTTATAAAGGATAAAAGGTATTTAATATTTTCAAATTCGCACGTTTGTGTATTTTGAGTTTTCTGTTCTATACGCTAACGAATTTAATGAAATATAATTCAATTCATTAGTGTATATAGAAAATTCAACATGAAGAATAGAAAAAAGTTATTCAATAAAATTTTTAAATTGCACAATTTTCCAAAAAAAAATTTTTTTTTTAGTATTTGGAAAGAAATTTTTTTTTTTAAAAAATTTATATAGTGGAACAGCATTTTCACGAATTCTATTTCAAGACGTGCAAGAACTCATTCACATTTTTAACTACTTTTCTTTTTTTTAAAAACGCGTCTATAAAACAATTTTTACAAAATGATCGTATGTGTGTTTGTTTTTTTGGGTTTTTGTATTTGTTTTGTATTATAAATATACGGTGGCAAATTCTATTCCATTCGCTTGGCAATTCTTTGACATGGTAACTGCAAATTTTACAAAAATATTGTAGAAAAGAAAAATAATATTTTAATAATTCTATTGTTATCAATTCTATTGTAAAATGCTATTAATTTCGTTTTCATTTTATGAGATATGCTTGCTGTTGCCATTTTTACTTCAAGATTCTTTTAGAATTCTTTTCTGCTATAAACATGTGCAATATCACATAAATACACACACACACATACACATAAGATTTTTTTAAATCGTTTTCGATGCACTTATCCTTTAATTTTCGTTTTTATTTTCTCATTCTTCAACTCAACTTAAAATGCTGCTGCAATTTTTGCCTTTTGTTTTTCTTTTTATTTGACTTGATTTTCCTTTAAAAATTTTCCTTGTAGAGCTAAGTAATTATTTGTATTAGCTTGTGTATAGATAGCACATAGCATTGAATTTCGAGAAAAGAAACGTGCTCTGAATAAAATGTTATTAGACTTGAAGGTAAGACGAAAACTAAAAATAAATATGTGTGTATGTATATATGTGTGCTTGTAAGTATATTTTCTTGTTGTTTTATGTTATGTTTATATTTAAAATGAAATTTTCAAATTTAGTATAAAATTTTAGTAAATTTTATATTTATGTAAGAGCGTTATGAAAAAATAATAATATACATACATAGTTTAAAATTGAACCATAGTGAAAAAATCGCTTGGAAGAAAAATTCTTTAAAAAAACATATACATGTGTGTATGTATGTATGTATTGGCATTTATATAATATTGTTCAACATTAAGAATTTGTATTTAGAAAAATTAATATTCAAGTATAATATTCAAATATAGAGTTTGAAAGATAAATTGAAAATTTTTAAAGTTTAAGTGACAAAGATCTTATTGTCTCTTAAAATAGCCAATGAAAAAGGAGAAAAATTGGCTTATTACTAAAGAACCTACATTGTAAAAGTAATCTAAATTAAATTTAAGGTCAAAGAAAAGTAATAATGATAAATGTCTTGGCCTATTGCCAAAAATCTTAAGCGACCATCATTTATGCGACTGTAATTTGTATTTGTCAAATAATATTCTTGAAGTTTAATACTTGTGTCTGCCAATATATTAAATAAACAATATTTTCGCTGAAATCCGAGTAGAATAATTAAAAATTTACAAAGGTAAAAGTTTATACAATATATTATTATAAAAATATTGTAAAGGAAAACTGAATTGTCGCATTTTAAATTTTTGGGCCATACCTGAGGAAATAATCAAAAAAATTTTTTAAAATTTAATATTTGAATTTTGTTTGGTGTCGAAGCTAACTCACTGCTTCTAGTTTAGTGAAGAATTATTAAAATAGATTTATTGTGCTTTCTGAATAATATTATTCGGAAAATAAGTAGTGCATTCAGTAATTAAGTAATACATTCAGATCAAGTGATCACATCTGAGTTTTTTTTAATTTGATTTTCAATTAAAATTAAAAGGTATTTAAAGGGTTTCATTTTTATCAAATTAATTAATATCACAAAAGCACTCAAGTTGCAACGGAAATTTCTTGCAACTGTTATATCCCCCTTTATCTAAATTCAAATTAATGAATTTGCGTAAGCATTTATATGTAATGTGTGTATGAATCCAATTTTTTTGAATGTGTTTAAAAATTAAATTTTGCAATCTATAGCATTTTACTTGTTTTTTAACTTGAATGTGTATATATTTTATATATGGATAAAACTATCAAAATCAGTGATATCAGGTTTG